CATCATCATCATCATCATCATCATCATCAATAATATGACCCTAATCCAGTCAGAACAGAACTGAGCAGAGTTTATTAGATCTCTCTATTTTTCATATACATATATAAAATATAAATGAAAGCCACTAGATGGCAGCATTGTAGCATATTTTATTAATGTATTTTGACAGTCGGGGGATTGTTTTCTAATACGGTGTTTACAGATAAACAAGTAAATATTACCAGGCCTGTATCGGCACCAGTTGTTATCAGAATCGGAACAGAAGTAGAATATAAAGCCTTCGCTCAGCTGTGACAAGAGCACCTCCATGCCCTCCAAAGTCTGGCAGGGAAAAGGTGAAGCACACGGTCGTGTGGCCCAGGCTCGGTGTCATATTCATCTGGTTTCTGTCAACATTGTCTTCTGTTTCCAGCCTTCCCTCTGGACCGGAGGAACTCCCCCCCCAACAGCCTGACGCCGTGTCTGAAAATCAGGAACATGTTTGACCCAATCATGTGAGTTTCCTGACTGAGCTGCAGGTCTTTGTAGACCACCTCAGAGAGACCACCTCCAACTCACTGAAGCTACAGCATAAATATGTGACGATCTCTCCCTCTGTGTGTCCTCTTAGGGAGGTGGGGGAGAACTGGGACCTGGCCATCCAGGAGGCCATCCTGGAGAAGTGCTGTGACAACGATGGAATTGTTCACATCGCTGTTGACAAGAACTCAAAGGAGGTACGCTGCTCCGCTGCTCCTGAATATCTCTTCCAAGTACCACCAGTACGACCAGCGTGTTGTACTACAGTATCACATGAGTACTCTGCGTAGCATCGTATATGTAGTAGCGGTTTACTGCTAACCTCAGTATTAGCATACGTATTAAACTACTTCAATCAATGTAGTAATACTACAACTGGCTCTTTGCTGTCGTTTGAAAACCACAGACACAAAAGGCAAAAAAAAAAAACTCCAAGCGTTCCTTTACATACCACTAGAGGGAACCAGAGTACTGTCAGTGTTACACACTGCATAAGGGGTTGTACAAAATATATCTTTACACTGAAATATTGATATTTCATTGTATCAATTTTTTTTTTTAATTTATCAGTGATGTGATAACACAGTGTTTTTTTTTCTTTTTCTTTTTTTATCAGTGATTCCAAATGTAGTCACAGCTCCTACATTCCAGAGCTGGAACTGTTTGTCACCGATGTTACTCACAGTTTCTCTCTCTCCCTCTCTCTCTCTCTCGCTCTCTCTCTCTCCCCCCCCCCCAGGGCTGTGTGTATGTGAAGTGTCTCTCTGCAGAGCACTCAGGGAAAGCCTTCAAGGCTCTGCACGGCTCCTGGTTTGACGGTAAAGTACACACCCAGTAACACACCGAAGTATTTTTTTTAATTACCTCACAGCAGCCAGATTACTTTCCAGGAACTCTGGAACATCACCACTGATCTGCTGTGACACGTCTGGTCTGGTTGACCTGGTTAACTGTCAACATATGAAACAAAAACAGGAAGTGGGAAGAGTTCCACTGGAGAACTCTGTTGGTGTCTGTGGAACCAGATCTTCCCACGTTCTGTTCCAACACCTGAACGTCTCTCAACCTGACGTCTGGGTTTGATAGTGGGTTATTAGGAGCACACTGCCACCTACTGGACTAGAGTGTGTAGTGTCATGGTCTGATCAGTGACTTTTTGAGATAACTCAGCCTACTTCTTATGACTTGATACGTGATTTGATTTTTATTTCAACCGATGACACGCAGGTCACAGATTTGTTTCAATCTCTAACCGTTTCACGGTGCAGCGTCACAGTTCACCAAAGTACTGTGCTGATGCTTTGATCCTGGTCTGATTTACAGGCAAACTGGTGACGGTCAAGTACCTTCGTCTGGACCGATACCACCAGCGCTTCCCGCAGGCCCAGTCGTGCACCACGCCCATGAAGGCCTCCGGCCCCCACCTCAGAGCCGTGGGCTCCACGGACGGTACGGCCAGCCGCGCCTCCACCTCCTCCTCCTCCTCCTCCTCAGGCTTCTCATGAGACGCGGGTCAGTGTCAGAGACGGCGTTTTCGTCCTCCCAGCGTCACGCACCAGTTGCTGCTGCTCCTTTTACTGCTTTACAACATGAACGACTTCAGTCCGTGTCAGCGGAGAGCTACTTTTATTATTTTTTTCTACATTATTTTCAAACTGTGTCTTTTACAAAAGAATGCAGTTTTGAGTTGAATAGAATTTTTTTTTTTTTTTTTACTTCTTTCACCGTTGTTTTAAACCAACCAGGGAAGAGAAGCTGTTCTGGAATGATCTAACACACACACACATACACGTACACGTATGTTCTCCAGGCCGCTCCCTCCTCAGCCAATCACAGACCGGCTGCTGTTTCAGAGCGTACCTGGATCTAAGCTTTCATGAGAACAGAGCAGATGATTGGCTGAATGTGTCCAACGTACTCCTGATGTTATGATTATTATAATTAGTATTATTGTTGTTATTATTATTACTCTGATTATTGTTGTTGTTTAGAGAAACGAGGCGACGACGGTTGCGTAAACGAGCGTCGTCTCCGCCTTCATCGTCGTCATCATCGCGTGGTCACCTGATCCTACAGACGAACCATAAGCTTATTTATGTTGCCGCCATAGACTGCACTCCACAGGTGGACCCAGGGTTCTGGTTCTGGTTCTGGTTCCACAGTGTGGTCTGATTTAAACCACACTGACAATCACGGAACAGACCTGGGATGGTTCTAACTCAGTCGTGCCATGTTCTCGTCTCCTGTTAAGATATTTTTTTCAAAGGCGTCACGTTCTGTTGAGGAACTGACCGTCGTCGAACACTCGCTAACGTTTTCACAGAAAATCAACTCACTTTAACCTCACCAGTACCATAGAAATCCTGTTCATTCTCACTGCTAATCTGGAGTTGGAGGAACTTTTCAAACGGAAAGACCCGGTTCTCCTCCTGGTCCGCAGACGACCCCCTGCAGGTGCAGCAGCAGAACTGCAGTGACCGTGTGGACTGGGCTCCTGTGTTGGATGTTTTTGTTTGTTGTTGTTGTTGTTTTTTTTTTCTAGTTTTACATTTTTCGTCCTGTTATATAGAGGTGTTTACTCACAACAGTGACCTGAACCTTTTCTACTGCAAATATATTCCAAATGTACCCGGCTTTTTCTTTATTATTTATTACGTTAAATTTGGGTCATGTTCTCCTGTTGGTGGCGCTGCTGGCATTTCTGAGGGAATCCACATTTTGTTTTTCATTCAAGTCGCCCATTTCTACTGTCTTTACTTTGGACCAACAAACCAAAGGGGGGGGGGCTGCGAGTGGGTTCTGTCCTGTCGTCACTCCCGTCACAAACAGACGTTCTCCTCTCAGAACAGTCAGACCCAGGTCACCGTCACGCTTCTCTCCGCCACGAGTGTCTGTCAGTGTTTTAACACTATTTTAACTGCCCCCACCTCAGGGGGGGGGGGGGGGGGCTGGGTGTGGTTGTGTGTTTGTCCAGCACCTGTGTATTCAGATGAATTTTTCTTTTTTTTTTTTTTCCAGTAAAATCCAGGATCTGAATGTTGGACGTTGGTTCAGTATTTGCAGTGTGAAATTGTACAAACGATGCACATTTCAGAAGTTCACGCTCTGCTGCGGTCGGTAGCAGAAAACACAAGAGTGCCTTAAAAATGTTCTTTTCCTTTTTTGTAAAAAAAAAACAAAGCAAAAAATGAAAAAAAAAAACAAAAACCCAACAGTTGGCACTGCATTACTCATCGTCCTGGATCCACAGAGCTGAGTGAGTCAGACCTGCCGTAGACCTAGATCCTCTAGATTTCCTGTTTTTTTTTGTTTGTTTTTTTTGGTATTTTGTAGACGTTTACTTTCATATTAAACCAAATGCTTTTTCTATTTATTTCTTCAGTTGTTTGTTTGTGACCAGCCATGTTGATGCACACGAGCTCCACTATACCTGTTAATGTAGTGACCGTGTCTCCACACGTGGACTGATCGTCAGGTTCGGAATTTGTCTGTCGTCGGGACGAGCATGAGGACAAAAAAAAAAAAAAATGAAGTGAAGACGTCAAAGAGTGCTTCACTGGCATCTATTTTTGTACTTCACTAGACCGGGGGTGTCTCACCCCCCTCCTCTCTCCCCCTCACCTCCCTCACCCGCTGTCTTTGAGGCTGAGTGTAAATAGAGATGTTTGGATGTTTGGACTCCTCCTCCTCTCCTCCTCCAGGCTCCTGCTTCACCTATAGAAACATTCTTATCTTGATGTACGTTATGTAAACACTGTACATTGATATAACTGTAGTATGTACCATTATTCGCAGCTTTATTTCCATTTCATTGTACGTTTGTTTTTTTTGTTTGTTTTTTTGCCAGTGTCCCTAATCTGCTAGCCAGAGCGGGGGGGAGGTGTGAAATAAGAGACATTTGAAAGGAAACATTTTAACGAGACGTTTTGATGTAATTTGTCACTTGTACAAACAATTAAAATTAAAGATTTATTAGGCGTTTTTAAAACCTGGTCGTCTATCGTGGTCTTTCTGTCTTGTGGTGTTTTCACTGTGGCTGGGGTAAAAATGAGGTTCAAAATGAGGCTGGTGGGCCAGTTTGGTATCTGCCGCCATCTAGTGGTATCAACAGAAATTATAGTTGATTCGTTGTAATGCATGAAACAGAAGAATCAACATTGATCTTTACCAAACCCTGTAGCAGCCTGTGGGGGGCCAGGCCGGATTAGAAAGCCCAGTGGGCCTTACCTGGGCCACGGGCCGTAGATTGTCCAAGTCTGCTCTAAATAGAAATAAAAAGTACACTAATAATTTATGTAGAATTAAGTACAAGATCAGTTGAGCTATTGATGCATTTTTGAACGTTAAACTTGGGCAAGAAAACTGGTTCAAAGTTTGATACCACCTAGCCTCCAAATCCGGACTAAATTATTTAATAAAATGTTTTTTTTTTGTTGTTTTTTTTTACCATTCGTGTCCGCCTGTTATGTCTATGCGCTCTACTGTAGGATCGCGCCCCGCATTGTTTACATCAGACATTTTCCGCCCGTCCGTGAAGTGAGGGATGTGACGAAGCACCCACCGGAAGCTGGAGCGGGGGTCCTGACCACATTTGGACATGCGTAGCTCCAGTGGCCGCTGTCATTCTAGCCGTGACCCTCGCTAACAGCCTGTTGACGGACGCTGTGTTGGCGACATCTTAGCGTCACGTTAATGAGCGGGCGACACTTGACCACCGTCACCACCACCGCCACCGTCCTCCTCGTCCTCCTCCTGCCGCTGCTGCTGCCGCTTCTCTCCGGTGAGTCAGTCCCACAGTTGTTGTCGGCTTTAACGGAGAACTATTAACCACAAACGACAACGTGGGACGAACTATTTAATTATTTTTCTCTCTGTGTCGTGACGACAGAAAACAACGGGTATTTTTACCTCCACACTTTTAAACATGGCGTCAACACCGACACATAACAAACTGTTGTCATTAACCGTGACGTCGCACAAATACGGCGAGATTCTGGTTCTGTTCGAGGCGATGATTTAAATGTCAAGCACTTTTGTTTTGTAAACTACTTTACTGTTGTGACGTCATGTCAACTAACAATTCAAATTATTGTCAGTTTAAAGCGGAGTTCACTGTTGTTGTTTTTTACACCGTAGAAACTGATGTAGACCGTGTTTACTGTTGTATTTTATCTCTGTATCCAAACACTTTATTGTTGTGTATCAAGTACTGTTCAAATGTTACACTGTCTTATAGAATATATGTTTTTATTTTAAACGTATGTCAGTACGGCGGGTGTAACACTGACCCCTGTAGGCAAAACCGATAATTGTATTTGAGAAAATTTAACTAAATTAAATTTAAAAAATTAAACCCAATATTTTAGACTTTATATGCAGTACTTTCATGAACCTCATAGAGCAACAGGGCCCCCTGTTGGAGAACTCTATAGCTTTAAAACATAGCACTTTAACTTTACCAACAAATACGGTGGAGACAGAAAGAAAATTGACATCTTTAGACGCTCACTCTGGAACTCTTGGTGCTGATTGGACGGACCGTGTGACAGGTCCTAACGGGCCAAGTACAGGTGTCTGTAACGACGGACGGCTGGATTAGCTTTAGCCTCTTTGGTGTCCTGCTACATGCCTGAACGTCTGTGTCCTCTTTCAGGGACTAAGGTCTTTGGGGGGGTAGGGAGGGGGGGGTGGGGGGTATTGTACTACTGCCCATTGTACTACACATGGGGATAGTATTTGCCCTTTGGCAAAGCTGTCAACAGGTGGAACTTTTGCAGTGCACCAGTAGGCGGCGCTCTGCAAAAATATCTCACATCAACCACCTTTTGAAGGACCATGTGACCACCTGGTGAGACTGAACAAGACCATCAGAACTTTAAAGTCAGCCCAGGGAGGAGGTCAAAGGGTTAATGTTCCACTGCCGTCAATGCGACCATATAAGGTCGTCTCTCTCTTTAGCCCTAAATTCTCAGAGCCGGCTGCTCCAAGTCTCCGTTAGATCTTTTATTTTTTTCCCTCCCCTCCAGAACTGTCGGTCAGTGAGTGTGTTTGTCTCTGTCTCTCTTCAGTTTGACTTTCTCATGGCCGTTCTCCTCCGACGTGGACTTTTTGTGGCGCTGCATCGTTGTGTCAGCAGCACAGTGGCGCCCCCCCCAGCACTGCTCGCTGCTGCTCTAGGTAGAGTAACCTGTTAGCTTTGACGTCATGTCTAGTCAAGACGGCCAAATGTACGTCGGGATATCTTCAAAAATTAACAAAGAAATGTTTAAAAATCTAACGTGACGTCTTTTCAAGACAAATCTTTGGAATTTTAATTAAATTGTTTATATGACGGTGGGGGTTGTTTACGTTTAAACGTGTTGCTGCAGCCATGTTTTTTTCCCCCCTGATTAGATTTCACTGCTGTTAAAAACCAAGATGTTGTTGTTTGTTTTTGGTTGTTTTTTTTCTTGTTGACTTTAAGGAACTGTTTCCCTAGAACTGTTGACTCACGAGGCTCAGCCTCTGGTCCGTGTTTTGTTTTGTTTGTTTTGCTCCATGTTGTGATCAGACTATTTGGAGACTTGAGTCATAAAAAAAAAGTCCCGACTTTTCAAACACACGTCTGAAAGCTGCAGTTCTGTCAACGCTCTGTGTTCCGTTAGGGTTCATCGGTTCCACCGTTCATCTGGAGGTGTCAACTTTCTGTCCCTCTAGGTGTGAATGTGCACATGTATTTTTTATGTTTGTGTGTATGTGTGTAAGAAAATATTGATACTCTGAAATATTGCGATATTTTGTTTTACGATACCGTATCACTATAGTATATATTATAAACTATTATAGAATATAAATTATAGTAAGACAACTATATTTCATCGTCACTACAGTATCGCAATATATTGTATCGTTCCCCGTATATCGTATAATTAAATAAGCACGTGGTTCCTCTGGGAATCAAACCCACGACTCTGCTCCTAGCGTGCTAACTGCTACTGTACGGAACCGAAAAAACTCTATCGCCCAACGTGGGGCTCGAACCCACGACCCTGAGATTAAGAGTCTCATGCTCTACCGACTGAGCTAGCCGGGCTACTGAAATATAGCTTTCCGTCTGGTTTCGAAACTTTCGCGTGTTAGGCCGAACACGATAACCACCACGCTACAGAAACTCATATCACCGGATGCCAATACACACCCCTAGTGTGTGTGTGTATATGTGTGTGTGTGTGTCTGTGTGTGTGTCATGACCTGTGGTGACCCTCGGACATGTTTCAAATGCCCCCTCCTTTATTTCACCCCCCCTCCTTTAACCCTCTGTTGTCATGTGTTGTTCTCCCGTCTGCTCTCCATCATCCAGCCCAGTCGCTCGGTCGTAGCCTCTGCCGACGTTGCTAATTTCTAGCGGTGGGCGGAGCTCCACTGTCCAGCAGCCATGTCGGGCTTCAATCTGCTGCACCTAATAACAAAGAGTCAGCCTGTAGCTCTGAAGTCCTGCAGTCTTCCTCCAGGTCCACTGACTGGGTGCTGTGTGCCTGCTGTGCTCTGTCCC